AATGGAATATAAGTAAGCAACAACCAGAATATAAGATGGGGCGGGAATATTTTCCAAAATACTTTTTTAAAAGAATGCACAGTTCTTTTATTCAGAAATTCCAAGACTGTGATTTTTTTCCTCATCAGGACTGTTACAAGATCCAGGCAGCTTTCCCATCCACCTTAGATTTTAAGCATCGTGAAATTAGTTTGGTTCTGAGAGCCAAGCAGCAGAACTGCTGGCATTGCATCCTGGACCAACTCGATAACTTCCTCTTCCTCTTGATCTCATTAGAAACTTAAAAAAAATTTAATAACCTGGTAACTAGATTGGAAAAGCATAAGCAAATATGGTATGAGTTCCTTGTAGCATCCCAAAATCTCTTTGTATTTTTCTTAGTAATAGAATGCAAAATTCAGGAATCTTTCACCGAAACAAGACATGTCAAATGCTCCAGATTACTAGATCCCCAGAATTCAAAAGCAGTCAGTTTTTGTAAGAAAGTTACCTTCTAGCCATTATCATTCCACAGCATTTGTTGGATTTTTTTGCTTTCACGCCCCTCATCAGACTAACCTAATGGACAGTATAATACATTCTAGAATGAGGAGTAGGTGTAGGTGCTTTAACACTAAATTGAGAACAGACACAAAACATTTTGCTGAAATATGCTAAGTCTGAAGAGTAGAGTTGAATAGTTGTTTCTGCTAGGTAAAAGTAATTCATTTTGGCTTGTGGGATAAGAAAAATAGTTGACTTGATTAACAATGGCATACTGATGCTTGCAGATTGTATAATTTCTTCCAGAAAGCAGACTACATCTAGCAAACTGGCTACAAATGGAGCCAGCAGGGATTTAACATTTGACCATGAATTGTCATTCTATCTTTGATACTAGCCAAGATGATGACCTCAGTGGTAGTTTAGAAGAGTCAACAATTTACATCTTTTGAGTCTTGAATGATGGTATGCACTTGTGAAACTTCCCCAGTGATGCCTTATTTTGTTTTAGTGTTTTGGTACAGAAAGGGAACTTTAGAAACTTTCATTTACCTTTCTATCAAAGTAAGACTTACTCCATGGGATGTTACAACTGTGATTATGTCACCTGATAAGGATACTTCGATGAAAATACTTGGGAAGGGAGAAAATATACATGATGTAGGTTTAAGAAGTGACTATGAAATAGACTTAAATTGTCATCTATTTAATACTCAACCTCTATAAAGATCCTCATTATTTCCTATACGCCATGATGATTACCAAATCCCCAGGGGTAAGTTTTCATTTAAACTTAACTTTTAATAAATTCCCAATGTCTGGATAAATCTATTTACCCAATGGCCATTTAGTTTGACAAATGATCACAAGACCATGGAAGGCTTCAAGAACGATTCGTACTAAGTGTTTGTGATATTGCCAAATCTTCCCTTCACATTGTTCAGTTTCTCTTACTTAAAAAATACTTGAATCTTGGAAGTACCTAAGTGTAAAGCAGTCATATCATAATAGCTCAGGTACTACCTCTGCTAGGACAGAATTTGGAGGATTATAAAGTCAAGCAGAATCTTAGTATGCTGTAAATCCTTTCTTGTCATGTATTCGTTTGGTTGCACTTGTTATATGCGCTTGTTATTTTTTTTCTTTTAACCATGTACAATATTTCTTGGACAGTTATGCCTTTTTAAATGGTCACAGCATTCTAATGTACAGCAGCCCTATTAAAATCCATCTGTCAATTTAAAATTCAACATTTGATATCAGCAGCTCCAAAGATATTCAGTAGCAGTGATGGCTTTTTCGTTTCCAGTTTCTTATCCTTGATGTAGGTATTTAACGTAGGAACTTCCTCCTGTTTTTATTTTGCAAAATTTTATAGAATGTAGTTAGCAGTGCATGGAGAAAAATAAACTTACTCCTAGATTCCTATATGCCAATATCCTTTTGATAATTAAATTTAGGTTTATTAAGGCTACATGCATAATAATTTTATTATTTAAATAGTACAAGATAGTTTTTGAAAAACAATGAGATGTTCTCAGCATTTTATCCCATGCACTTAATTTCTTCTCTTTTCAGAATCAGTGAAAAGGCAGATGAGGTAGGTTTGGGAGGTAGTAATGGAGGCAAAGCACCATTCCCATTCACATACAAGTCCGCCCTATCCAGAAAGCCATGACTCAACATTTGCCTCTGGGAGATGTCACCACTGATGGAACCACTTCAGGGACAGTGGCTCCTGAATAAATGTCCTGCTGCATTCTACTGGACATAGATACTTACTGCCTTGCCATTTGACTTTCAACAACACATGGTTGTCTTTGTAACTAATCTCTAACCCACCCTGTGATTTTACATCCTACCCTACAGATTCAGATTCTCAAGGGGAGTACTGGAAAGTCCAGGTTTAGACCACATGTCTCTCCTTCATAGCTGGGAGTGAGGAAGGTGATGTTTCTGGATTTCTGGACTTTGTAACATGGACAGGGGGATCTGGAGCTATTGTCTGGGAAGCAGCAGTGATATATGTTCACAGTAAGAAAACAACTATTTTGTTTCTTTCCCCCAGAGTTGTAGAGTGAAACTCAGTTCCCCCTTTTTCTTGGTGGAAATATGAAGAAAATTTAGTGAGAGTCGGGGTGGCTTTTCTCCTTTTCCTTTCTGCTGTAACATAAATGTGAACTCTGAGGACATAGGGTCTTTCTTCTGAAATTCAATTAGAGGATGGTTTTCAGCTAACATTCAGTGACAGTTACATATTTACTACCTCGAAGAACCTGATTCTTCTGTGGCCAAACTTACACCTTGAGAGGAAGTGGTTTTACTTCTAGTTATCCACATTCTTCCAATGAAGTGACCTGCCCTGAGATCAATGGGTATGAACCGCCTTCATAGGATTCTAACACCTTGATGGCCATAAATCACTTCACTCTCCCCAAAATATAGAGATCCATCTTGCAGCTAAACCCAGGCAAGCATATGTATTGGCTTTGTCTCCTGCTCTTAATAGGCCCACTCACCTCTGAGGCATATATAAAGAACAAAAAATAGGCTTAGTGAGTCTAAGAGCACTTTGACTTTAAACACTTTTTAATTTTCTAATTGAATTAGAGTAAAAACAGTATTTAAAATATACCCTTGGTTGTTATCTTGAAAAATCACTACAGCTAATTAGCCCCAAATAGCCAATTTTTGTGGTTTCCAAGGATACAGCCAGAATTAGAATTGTCAACTACCAGTCCTTTTTTAAATTTTTTAATTCTTTTTTTTTTTAGTTTCAAGGGGCATTTAAACAAAAAATGGAAGGGCAATGGTTAAAAGAGGGAGAGTTTTCCTTGTTAAATAAAGGTGAGGAGAAAAGGAAAAAGTTTTGAAACAGATTTGATTCTTTCCCGATAGGCTTATGGAAATTGGCTTAATTGACTTCCAACACAAGTTTATAAATTGAAAACAAAACAGAGTGGGTCATCTTTCTGGTCTAAAACATCAGGATGATCAAATCTTCTACCTAACTCTAAGTTAAGACCCTTATATTTCCCTTGTCTGAATTTGGCTTTCATTTATTAAGTGCTTTCTTTATTAAGAGTTTCTTATTTAATTGCTGTTACAAGCATATGAAGATTTGTATTAGACACTTATTTTGACCTAAAAATCATCCATTCCTCCTTTTCATGGCAATAGAATTCTGGGTTCTTTCTACGAAATTACCTTTTCTCATCTGATCATGTCCATTTAATATTAAATTAAGATGTCCAGGCCTTACAGAATAAGAAACAAATCAACCCACATAGAATTAATGCTGGGCTGATGAATCTTCAACTGAGCTTTGAAATTACTGAGGATGGTTGGCACTTACTTGCTTTGTGGACGCCCTGTATGAAGCTACAACGTTCTTGCTAGCATGCCCAAGTTTTCTTGAGTCCCATGTTCCTTTGTTAAATCTGAAAATTGCTCATTTCCTTCAAACAATTCTCCATTTTTGCTTATGTTAGCTAAAACCAAAAATAACACCAAGAGCAATATCATTCTCATTTTTAATTTAAGAATACTGGGGCTCAATTAAGTTAAACCTTTTGTCCATCTCTAGTCGGTTAATGATGGAAGGTGGATTCAAATTCAAATTTGCTTCTCACTCCCTGTCTTCCCCCACAGTTTTCTTTTATGTAAATAAATAAGTTCCCTCACTGGCTCACTCCAAGTCAAGAACTCCCCTCCTGAAAGTAGAGTAAAAGTTGGCTCTTGGAGAGGAAAATTTCATTGTTCTCATTTTCTCTTTTGGATGCAGTCAAGTCTTTTCACGTATTTGGTGATTTTCTTTTGTTTATTATTTCTGACAGAATAGGAAAGCGTGACAATGCTTGTTCCAAATTAGAATCAGATAGGGTTTCTCTCAGAATGTACATGTACCTTCCCCTTGTGTCCCTTCTCTTCTTATTTTCTTTCTCATAGTGTTTTTACCCAGGATTTGAGAATCGGAATAGAGTAAGATGCTTAAAGTGAAGAATATTAGAAATGACAGGGCTCTGGAGCCAGGCAAAGCTAGCCTGAAATTCTGGAACCACAACTTTTAGCTTATTATTTAGATAATTTAGTTCCTGTTTGTGAAAACTTATTATAATTTTTGGTTTTTGGTGGCCAATTTAGATATACAAAAAGATAGCTATATTTGGAGGAAGGCAGTTCAACTGTCCACCTACTACATCTGGTCTGCTTTGACTTCTGGAGCTCCTTTGGACTGATAATGCCTTTCTAAATGCTCTCTGTTGGGAAAAAGTCAAATTCCAAAGTAGAAGGGCTTTTTCCTTTTACATGTAAACCTGCCTCAGGCAGGCTGTGATCATAGTCAGAGAATGCTCCTGAGAATATTTTAAATAAATTCATCGATTTATTTATTTATGTAATTTGTGCCAGGTGAAATTTGATATCTGGGTGAGAGGCTTCAAAGAACTCTATGATTTGTGCCTAACCAGTTGCCCTGTAGTTCACAGTACACTGAATCAAGAGTGTCAACATGGATTTCCTGGGGTTGCTTTATGGCCTCAGTATGTAAGGTCCTCCCTCCACAGTTGGTGATAAAAACCAGCAGGAGTATTCCCTTTTGCTTTTCTTGCAAGCGCTCTTTCTTGTTGAAATTCATTTAAGCTTCAGGTGAGTTGATAATATACCCTTCATTAATCCTATAGCAATATGCAATACATTGAATTTATATCAGTGGAGTTTTTAAAGCTGTGAATTAAATATTTGGCTTTAGATCACTTGCATTGATGGGATGCTAATCCAGAATCCTCTTGTCATTGTTGTTGCAGCTGTTTTCTTGAATTAGACAAATGAATTACTTTATATGCATTCGAAAGAAGCTAAGACATTATTTGCTGCTGGATAAATTGTAGTTTTTCTTTTCTTTTCTTTTTTTTTTGTTCCCTCAATTGTCCTCATCTAGTCTTATTTGCTTCTTTGTTTTCCTTCTCTCTTGAGCAAAGCTTGGAGTCCTCTGCTGAATTATATTTGTCTTGACTCCTGTTTAATTTTCTTTTATTGATTAAAACAGTCATTGTGTTTTTAAAACAGCTTTTTGAAGTAAAACTGACATACAAAAAGTTTAATGAATATTTAAATTAAATTAGATTTAACAGATGCATAAACCCATGATAACATCACTATATTCAAGGTTGTGAATATAAGCATCTCTTCAAATGTTCTCACAGAAGTCTTAACAATCACTTTTTTTTTTGCTACCAGGGATTGAACTTGGGTCCTTGTGCTTGCAAGGCAGGTGGCAGAACCATTGAGCTAAATTTTCAGCATCAATCACTCTTAATTTCCCATTTCAAGAACTTGCAGAGGTGCTTTCGGACACTATTAATTAGCTTATATTTACTAAACTTTTTAGTAACTGTAATAGCACAATACGAATTTCTTTTGGAAGACCAAAAGGAAACAATATTCAATTATAAAAGAATCATTCCTGCAATAACATATAACAACCTTAAATGCACTTGTCTAAGAATAGAGTTTCAGTAATGTGAAGTAGAAATTGTTTGGTCTGAAGGGAGAAATAAACATCCTCATTTATAGTTGAAGACTTCGACACATTTCTTGATAGAACAGCTACACAGAAAAATATCAAAGATATAGAAAAACTGAAAACTACTATCAATCAATTTGACCAAAATGACCTCTATAGAATATTCTACCAAACAAGAGCAACACAGATATTTTTCTAATGTGTATATAGAGCTTCTCACAGGCATGTGTTGAAACAATAAGCAATCTCACACTAAACATAACTGTTGTTTATATTATTTTTCTTTCTTTCTTTCTTTTTTTTTTTTTTGTACCGGGGATTGAACTTGGGTCCTTGCACTTGCGAGGCAGGTGGCGGAACCACTGAGCTAAACCCCCAGCCCTATTATTTCTTTATTAATGATGACTCAATGCCTGTGTAGACAATAGTCTAGATAAAATATATCAATTCCTTGAAGGGCACAACCTACTGAAACTCACATAATGTACAGATTACCTGATTGTCCTATGTATTTCATTGTTACTGAGCTCAAAGTTGAAAATCTTCTGACAAAGAAAACTACAATTCACTGGCAAATACTGCCAAACTTTTAAAGAAGAAATAATATCAATTCTACAAAATTTCTTCCAGAAAGTTGAAGAGAATGCTTCAGAACTCATTTTATGAGGTCAGAATTATCTTGATACCAAAACAGAAAAAAATATACAGAAAAGAAAACAGATGACCAGTATCTGTAATGAACACAGACCTAAAGGTCCTCAGCAACGTATTAGTAAATCGAATCCACAATTTATTAAAGGTATAGTACATCGGAATTAATTGAACTTTGTATAAAAATGAAAAGAGCTTTAGAAAAAAATCCTAGAAGTAGTGATTTCAGCAGTGTTGCAAGATTCCTGTCTAGTAGACAAAAATCATACTTGTGTATAATAAAGATGAAAAAGTGGAAATTGAATTTGAGAAATAGTAGTATTTCCTAAAGCCCCCTATAATTACAATACTTAGGCATAAACTCAACATATTATGTACAGGATCTATATGCTGGAAAATTAATGCTGAGGGAAGAAATCAGAGAAGATAATAAATGAGTGGAAGTGTGTATATCATGTCTTTCTTTTGGTGGTGCTGTGGATCCAAATCCAGGGCACTGTGCATTCTGGAGAAGTACGCTTCCACTGAGGTACATCCCTAGCCCATAAATGTAATATTTTTGAGATGTCAGTTCTTCACAAATCGATTTATAAATTTAATACAATCCAGACAAAAATTTCAGCAGGTGTTGACAAAAAGATTCTCAGATATTATAGAGTATAACAGAAACTACAATAACCAAAGTAATTTTAAAAGAGAAGAACAAAGTTTGAGGGCTTACCTTTATTTATGTTAATACTGAAAGTTAATGCTATTATAATCAAATCTGTCTGCCTTAAGCAAAACTTTAAGCACATAGCTCAAGGGAGCAGGATAGCAAATTCAGTCATGGACTGACACAAATTTGGTCCACTGATTTTTGACCAGAGATACAAAAGAAATTCAATAGAGAAAGGATAAAATTTTCAATAAATGGTGCTAATATGATTAGTATACTTATAAAAATGATATTCATGTATGCCTCATATCATAATTATTCAAAATGAATCATAACTTACATGCAAATTATAGAATTTAGAAAAAAAAGATTTCATGGTATTCAATAGGCAAAAAATTCTTAGATCTGCCACCAAAAACTACAATATATACATTATGATACATTGAGCTTCATTAAAATTAAAATATTTGCTATATGAAAATCTCTGTTAATGAGGTGAAAGCACAAGATACCAGTAGGTAAAGAATGTTTATTATGCTCATAAACATTCAAAAATTTTGTAATGAGAAAATATACCCAGTCAAAATAACAGGTAAATATTTATTTTCTTCCTTCCTTCCTTCCTTCTTTCTTTCTTTCTTTCTTTCTTCCTTCCTTCCTTCCTTCCTTCCTTCCTTCCTTCCTTCCTTCCTTCCATTCTTTCTTTCTTTCTTTCTTTCTTTCTTTCTTTCTTTCTTGGTACTGGGAATTGAACTCGGGTCCTTGCGCTTGCAAGGCAGGCCGCTGAACCACTGAGCTAAATCCCAGCCCTTGGTAAATATTTCTTTATGGGCACTGTAATGAAGAAAATAGAAATATGCAAATATGAAGAAACTCCATTTTAGTCTTAGAAACCACAATGAAATGCCATTGCACACCTATTTAAAAGGTAAACATTTAATAAACAAAAAAACAGTCAAACAAAAATGAAAAAATTAGTGTGTTGAAGGTAAAGAACAACCAAAATTCCCTTACTATACTGGTGGAAATGCACAATGACACAGTCACATGTAAAAGCTACTTCATAGCTTTGAAAAAGGAAACTATGTATGTACTATATTATCCTACTTTTAGATTTTTATCGTAGCTATATGAACACTTTCATTTCTGCAAAAACAAATTCATATTGTAGAAATATATTTTTGTAGCATTAACTCTTACACCTTCCAAAATAGGAAATAACACATAATTCCTTCACTGGATGAATGGCCAATCTTTGGTACAGTCATACAGTAGAGTCCTATTCAGCAAAACAAACAAATGGAAAACCAAAACCAAAAACCAAAAATGCAGTCGTATCCACTACAACACAAATGAATTTCAAGTATGTTATCTTAATTGTAAAAAGCTACATTCAAGAAGTTATATGTTGCACAACTTCATTAAATAACATCTGGAAAAGGCAAAACTATCAGAGAAAAGTGAATATAACAGTGGTTACCAGCACCTTGGGTAGAGAGTGAGTGTGACTGCAAATGGTCATCATGAGGGAATTTTTTGGGGAGGAAACTATATTATATCCAGAGTGAGGTGAGGGTTTATTAAAACTAAGAACACTGTATGGTCACCCACCCTTGCAACAAGAGGAAATTTGTATAATAATTTTGAAAATACATTTAAAGAAGGATCTGAAAAAAATCCCTTTCACGTTTCAAGACAGGGACTCACTATGTTGTCCAGGCCAGCCTTGAGCTTATAGGAAATCCTCTTTCATTAGCTTCCATAGTTCCGGGATTATGGGTATGTGGCACCATATCCAGTGGTTTCTTTTTTTTCAGTGCATATTAGTTTTGAAGATTTGTGCATCCATATAACATTCTCAGATCATTTTCATCCCTGTCAACTCCTTTGTCTTCCCTCTTCCCTCCCGCTTTTTCCCTTTCTCTTTTCTAATGGTCCCCCTCTACTTTTATTCCTCTCTTCCACATATGAAAGAAAATAAATTTGATATTCATCTTTCTTAAGAGCAAGCGCCCACCCAATGATGGAATGTTAGAAGGTTTATCACTGGGTGAGCTATGTACTGTTAATGTGGCCTCAAGCCATTCTAGTTCTTCTCAGATGTAGAAAAGACCCACCCACCATTGTGATAATCAGAAAAAAACAGATGCATATTTGTCAGAGAAAGAGCCACCCCTAAGAAATGATGACCATAGCCTACCTTTTCAGGCTGTGAGAACAGTTTAGCAAGAGAATAATAACTGTATTGAGATCAATTATGCTTACATAATGGAGGCCTATCCAAAGTCCATAAGCCTGTCACAATCAGAGAACATTAAAGGAATAGTGGGAGTAGCTGAGTGTTTGGAAGCTACTGGCAGGAGAATAGTGGGACCATTGAACAGAGCTTTCCAGCCCTGATGTGGCTCATTAGCTGCATTACTAGTGGTTTGTGTATTTGTTTTCCTCATGCTATCAGCATGTTCAGTCCAAAAGCTAATATGTGTATCATTGTTTTGCTGGATTTCAAGCCCTTTCTCATTAGAGACATTGATATTGATTAAAAGTTGTTCACCAAATATCAGGTCTTGTTGCCATGGAACAGTTTTTGGCCTCTCTAATGGTAACTAGAGAGTCCAAGACTGTCGTTCAGATTAATTGAAATAATTTGGAATGGAAAAGTTGATAGAGAAGCCAGCTTGCTTGAGGTTTCAAAGTAAGTTATTACTGTCATTCCACTTCTCCTCCTCATTCCTCTCCTTACCGAAAGGTAATGACTACAAACAGAAGTTATAAATCAGTTTTATAGCCTGGCTAATACGCTGTTCATTTCCA